AGTAATTGAAAGAAGAGGCCTAGAATGCATGAACACCCTGATGCAACTAAAGGAGGTTGAATGCTTGGGCTTTCCCTGGTACTTATGTGGTAAGAACAGTGGGCAAGAGGGAAGACCAGTCTATGACATAAGTGCTGTGCATGTTTTCAAAGAGAGTGCCATAGAAATGGATTTAAAAATACACTTCAATTTGCCCAAGATGGGGAGGTTCATAATGGAAGGGTTAAATTGTTCCTCTCTGTGGAAAAAATGGCTGCCACTTGTTTAAAATGTCATATAAGAATAGGACAGCAAAAAAAGGCCTGGAAACACATTCCCTGGTCAACCATGGAAGATGTGTCACATTCCACCCTAAAACCTTTCCTTCTTGTTTTAGGGTTAAGGCCCCTTAAGGACCAGTCTATACCTCCAAGGGCCACACTGTATTCCCAAACCCTGTATAAAGGTATACTCCAGTATTTAGGGGTACAAAACCATGCTGTCACAAGTATACATAATCTCTTGGAGGCATGAAATGTGTCTATTGGCCAAATACAAAGAGGCAAGTGTGCAGAGGAATCACATTGTTGCCTCAAAACTGTGCCTTCCTGTTTTAGAGCTCAAGACTCCTAAGGGCCACATGGGCCCCCAAACCAATAACTACACCATATCATCATAGATGTGGTACTTTTTTTGTGTGTACACACACACACACACACACACAAATTCAAGTTACTGAAACTTCCTGAATCCTGATTTGAGAAATAAAGATTGGTGTCCCTTGTCTTTCATTGTAAGCAATTCATTGTTATTTGTAGTTGTCATAATAAGTTTATGCCCCAACCCTATGTATTATCTACTTGGAACTAAGTCTCATTGCGTTCAGTGGGATGTGCTCCTAGGTAAGTGTGTCCAAGTGTACAGGCTTAGGGAAAAAGTCCAACACTGCACAAAGAGACTTCTGCATGTACCATGGGACTGTCTATTCATCTCCTCCTCTCCCGACCCTGCTCTGGAAATTCATCTATACTCTGAAGTAGATTTGGGGGCTGCAAGGGAAGTGGAAATCACCCCCTCCTTGTTCAATGGAGGGAGGATATCTGGCTACACCCATAGGTTGCATTCTTATGGGGAGTGCGGAGTAAGTTGCCTCAAACTCAACGGAATTTCCTTTCAAGAAGATATATATGGGATTGTACTGATAAGATAAGGTAAAGGTAAAGGTTCCCCTTGACAATTTTTGTCCAGTCGTGTTCGACTCGAGGGGGCAGTGCTCATCCCCATTTCCAAGCCGTAGAGCCAGCGCTTGTCCGAAGACAATCTTCCGTGGTCACATGGCCAGTGCGACTTAGACACGGAATGCTGTTACCTTCCCACCAAAGTGGTCCCTATTTATCTACTTGCATTTGCATGCTTTCGAACCGCTAGGTTGGCGCTTTGAAAGTTATCTCCCTCTATCCCTATCTATCTGGAACTTGCAATATATGTACAAAGGCCAGCCATCATCTGTTTTGTTCGAGGTTTTCGCTGCTGCAGCATCAAGTCTGTTCAATCAATAAGAGACAAATCCATGTCCATTTAGAGCACAGAGTACTTTATGGGACAACATATCTGCCAAATGCCTATACTGTACCTTCTGTTGTTTTTGGTTTATTTGTTTGTGTGAAACTGAGACAATTCTTATATGTGCTAAATACAGCCAAAATATACAGTACATGACCAATAATGTCAAGAATTATGTTAGCCTCAGCAATTTCTGCTCTTCTGAAATGCCTCTCCGGAGGATTCCCAGTCCTTTGAAGCATATTGGAGGGGGGCTGTGGTGGGGGAGGGTTTAAAGGATTGCTGTCTCCCCATTCTACTCACAAAAACAGTTCCAAAGTAGATGACAAGAGAACCCTGATCCATCTACCACTGCTGAGTCCACATTCTATACCTGAAAAAGCAGTGACCAAATGCACATATGCCACATATAGTTGATATATTATCTATTTCATGCTTGAGAATTTGTGTACCTGAGTGCAAAAAGTCTTATAACTGAGACCTGGATGGGCAGGGAAGGAGGGGTCTCTTTGACCCTTTCCTGCCCTCCGGGTTATGCAGTGCAGCACCAGGGCAGACTGGAGGGGCAGGGGGGAGGAGTTGCCATTGTTTATAGAAAATCATTAGAGGTTACAAGGCGCTCCTCGATTGTGAAGCCAGGCCTGGAGGTCCTTCATGTGTGGATTGGGGCTAGGGATGGTATTGGGATCTTGCTGGGTTACCG